CCTTGTCGATCTATTTGGTCAGGTATTTGGCCACAGATTTGTAGGCGATGAGAATCTCTGAGTCGTTTGGGCAGGTGTATCGAAACACGTCCTGCTTGTAGGCGTTATCCAGGTAACGTGACAGACCTTTGAGTTCTCTGGGCATGTCAAAGTTACGGTACTCCTTGCACACCACCTGAGGAAAGAGGATTTTTTTATCAGCTTTGGAGAAAAGAAACAGTCAGGGAGGGCTTTAAACACACATTTAACATTACAATTAATAAATTAAGCGACTAGTTTTTTTTGGGCTGTCGCCTTTTATGCCAGAAATTGAAATTAAGATCAATTAATGTTGAGAAGGAACAAATTTATTCATTTATTTATTTATTTATTTATTGGTCAAACTTTTTATGTGACGTTATACAATCTCGTGTGTAAATGTGAAATCTTGTGAGTGGCCWATAAACTAAGCTTTACTGCTCAGTGTAGGGAACATCTCTCAGCTATTGCCACACAAAAACTGAGCTCAGTATTTTTTAAAATTGGCTGAGACGTTGGCATTTCGGTGCTCGGTAAGTTCGCTCAGCTGTGGCGGCCATCTTGGTTGGTTTTATTTTCAAAACATTCAATTAAAATGTGTCTGGAAAAGACAAAAAAACAGGTATCCTGATCTCAATAATCCAGATTTTAAAAAAAATCTATTTAAAAAATAAAAGTTTAGTCAGGCCCTCTGGACGGGTCACTCTTCTTTAATGTTTTCTCTTCTAGAAGAGACAAGAAGTGAAGAAGAACCTGTAAAGATAACCTGATTCAACTTTTTTAGATAAACGCTGCACAGACAAAAGCATTATTGTGTTATCGTTCTACTGCTGGCCTACAAGAGCTGCTAAAAAAGGATCAGCATGCAAAGAATGTGGCAAAGTGATGATGACGATTATTGCCACTTTGCCTTCAGTGATGATAAAACTTTTCACATCTTTGTACCTTTACGATGTTGAGTTTGGGAAGCAGGTTGCAGTCTGCCAGGGTGAAGGAGTCTCCATCCAGGTACAAACGTTTAGACTCAGCTTCATTTGGGTTCTTCTGCAGCTCGTGCGGCAGGGCCGTCTCGAGGTACCTGTTCAGCTTCACCAGAGTGGTCAGGAATTTCTTCTCCAGCACTGGAAGACAAGACATTTATAAATCTCATTGTAACATTTACCATCGTGCAGCAACAATATAATAATAATTTTTTTGAAGGTTTTCTCACTGTCATTCAAWCCAGGGTTGGGATTTTTAATGTACGCAGAAAACGTCCTGAAGATGTCTTCCCCTGCACCGTTGGACTCTTTGTATCGACAGCACAGTTTGGGGTATCTGTGATTGGTAAAACAAATTGATTGACTTCACAATCCTYCTTTTTATGTTTGAATGAGAAAAGGATAAATGTGATGCGCTTTACTCACTGTGGTGGAGCCAAAGTTTCCTCCAGGAACTCCTCGATCTTGTTGGTGTCTGTTTTCACTTCTTTGTTGTAGAGAAGAAAAGGAGGCTGAGATCCAGGAGCCAGATCTTTCAGCACATCTGGGGCCCTGAGACGTAACAAAGAGTTGTTATAAATCAAAGATGAAATGATCAGTTTCTAGTCAAACATTTTTAAACAGAGTGAATGTGGTTAAAAGGAATGTGAGAATCACATTAGTTGCAGTCTTTACAAACACACTCCTTATATTTTGAAGGATTTTTTTTATTTAACAACAATGTATATTGTGTGGAGCTAACATCCTGTTTTTAACAACACAAAAAACAATCATATTTGTTATTTTTTTTAATTATCGCCAAACTTAAAAGCTGAGACTTCTTAAAATACAAAAAAATTGTAAATTTGCTATGAAAACACAGTGCTGCAGCCGAAAAGAAGCTCGACATATAAAGCTAAAAACTAAAATGAGCAAAATCTAAAACTGGCAGAACAGCAGCTAAAAGCTAAAATTGCTGCAAGAATGCTAAAGTAGATTCAAGGAGCATTTTTCAAGGATTCATTTTAGCAAAGAAAAAGAATATTGCAAATAAAGTTAAATTACTTTTTAAACGTATAAATGTTACAAAAACCTAAAGTCATAGCATTAATGTCCTGAATGAGCCGAATGTTTTGATACCTGATTGGCTGAAACAGCTAGAAGTGAGTAGCAACWTGACAGACACTGAACAGGAAAAGCACCATAATTAAAAGCCACGGGACAGCGCCCTCTGGTGGTTAAAAAAAGCTTTACATGACATAATGAAGCAGGAGGACTGCCTGATCTGGCTGTAAATTAAATTCTGAATTTGCTGCAAAACTGAGGATAAATTATTTATTTGTCCTTATTAAAACAGAAGTTCTTGAAGTTCTTAAACATCCACAAACAGGCAACAATTGAATACAACAGGAGTAAAGATCTGGCAACAAATTCCAAAGGAGGATGCTTATTTCTTTATAGTCTTCAGACAGTAATCACTGGAGGTGCCAGCTCCCAAAAATGAGACTCAGGTACAGAAAATGCATGGTTAGAAGAGTCAGGTTGGTATAAGGATAGAGGGTAATATATTAGCTGAATGATAAAAATAAATTTAAAAAGTCATATTAGGGAAAAACTGACTGTACAAAGATTGTTTGTCCCAACTGCAGAAAGAATTCTGGAGATAAGAGTCACAAAGAGATTTCCTTGCAGAAACACCTTGATACTTTGTCCTGACAGTTGTTTTTGTTTCTGAACTGAACAATACCTGTGTTTAATCCATGTAATTATAATCTGCTATGACCAAAAAATTTTACTGATCTAATCCCAAAGCGAGGATAAAATTGTAAAGAAAATAAAGTGCCTGGAAAATGTGAAAATTATATTTTTTCGGGGAAAAAATACAGAGGACGAAGTCTTCGTTAGGGAAACAGGACTCAGATTTATCTGATAAGTATCCATAAGGATCAATAATTTTATAATTGCAAGTAAAATAAAATAAATGAGATTTTTGTGCAAAAGTGACAAAATATATAAACATTTAATACAGTAATTGGTCACATTGTTGAACTTTATTTTATTTTAGGTGTTTTAGATGGAAATAATCTGCACTTGTACATGTTAGCTTCATCTACCTATTAAAACTTGTACCAGATTTATTGAGATCTGCAGCAGGTTAGACACTGACTAATTATAAGTGCTCAATCCCACTCAAAAAAATATTTATTTTTTTAAATGCCAACAAGAAAAAGTAGGACATTTTTTGTTTGTTTGTTTTTATTTTTATTTATATATTTATTTATGCTTCATGAGAGAAAATCTGGTGTGCAATTGAACAAAATATGAGTTTTTATCATCCAGTGTTTAAAGACTCAACACATTTTGTCTGATCGGTTCAGCATCAGGAATATTTCTCCAAAACAAACTGAAAAACCTTCTTCAGTCTCACAGAAACTGATCCTTAGATTCTCGTATTTGTTTTGACTCTTGTCTGACTGCGTCACCGTATACAATCCGCCAGCACGCCGTGTGTCAAGTGGCGACGTGGACACACCCCAAACAAAGTATGAGCTGTTGAGAAAATGTGCTCTCACCTCCTCATGTCAACCGTAGTGAGGGTGAAGTTGACTCCCTTCAGCCACAGGATCATGAAGAGCCTCTGGGAGAACGGACAGTTCCCGATGCTTTCAGCGTCGTCACTGGCCTGACAGACAATAACACCAGTTTAAATACAGCATTCAGTGGTTGCAAATGAAAAACAATAAATGTTAATGTTTAACAATGTAGTTCGAGTCTTCTGTTGTTACTGATGGGAAACACAAGTGCATTCAGATTTGAAATAATTCTGAATCTGTGTCTCAGACCAGGATGACTTTAAATTAAAARTTCAGTCAAGCTGCAAATGGCTCTCATTAATCATGTATCATTTGCACTTTTTAAATCTTTGTCTGAATCCAGACAATTAAAAATAGCCACTAGGAAATCAATAAACATTAAATTAGAAAAATAAAACCTTGTTTTGTTTGAACGGCTTGGCATCCCTGAGGTTTTCTTTACAGAAAAAGTTGACAGATTAAAAAGTATTGATTTAATTGCGTTTTAATGTAATGCCTGCAGGGCAGCTGAGCAATAATGACGTTTGGTACAAAAAGGAGAAAAATCCTAAATGAAAATTATAAACCTGCTTTTACACTTTTTAGTTTTTTTAGTKAGTAATGTGTTTTAGGCCTTACCTTAACAAAGAGCTCAATCTTTGGAACCTCAGCCATCTTGCTCTCTTCCTCTTTTGCCTGTGTCGCTGCAGAGTTCACGCAATGTTTGTGCAAAAGAAAAAGTCGGAATGATTGTGAGGACGTACTTTCCCTGCCCACACACACGTTAGCGCTGGTAAAACTAGTAATGAAGAGGCTGTACTCACGTCAATGCCCAAACCGAATCCAGGAACAGCACCTCAGGTTTTCTGAATTGTTTTATTCTTCTTCCTCTCCTCCTTTGCACCTGTGTGTCTGTTTTCTGTTCGCCACACCTCACTGAAAGCCTGAAGAGGCAGCATACACCTCCGCTGGATTTACCAGTCAGACCAGCAGATCTGGATCGGTCATCCCTCAGCCTTCCAGCTCATTCTGAGCAAGAAATATGACTTTTTTTTCCAGCCTCTGTCTGCTCTGGTTTGACCTCATGACTCCTGATCAAAACAAGTAAAAGTAAGTCAAACAAGAGTGAAATGCGTATTCTGTTTTTTCTGCTATAAATCTCGTAAAATTAAATGTTTACAGTATTCTACACAATAATTCATTTGAAATGAAAAGCACGAGGCTGCCTTTTTCTGGAAAATGGTTCCCACGATGTAGCAAAAACATGTCCACACACACAGTCTCAACTTTGACACGACTAACAGGTGATTTAACTTTGATTATGTAGTGAAATTGTGACGYTCTGGAGGCAGAGCTTGGCTGACACTGTGGCATTCCCTATTGACAGCGGCCTTCTTTGACAGTAAATCACACCAAAACACATTAAAAAACCAGCTCAATCAACACAACAAATATTCCAAGCAGCCACGGGATGTCCCAAAACAAGGCTGAATGAGCAATTTAAACAATAAGAGGAAACATTATGCAGAGTTACTGCACTCTAATTCATAAAAATCTAACAAAACAAAAGTTTTATTAAAAAGGATTCTGAGAAGCAGTTTATTGAAATGGTTAGCTAAAAAGACCCAAAACAAAGAAAGAAAAAACAGCTGTATTTTCAGAATATTCCCAAGAACAGCTGTTTGTTATCGTAAATCTGCCAGCTAAGGCAGATTTTTAAACAATAACAGCGGTAACGATGCTGTTCATGTGGGGTCACATCAGTTCAGGTGGTCCTGCAGCAGAGCTCAGGACGGATTGTGTTCAGACCACCAAACGTRCAGATAAAAGGGSTTCAGACCTCCTCCAAAGCYATATTGGGTTGAGGYGTTTTTGATGCACATTAAGGCCGTCTGACTGCAATGTGGTCACTCAGGATGGGTCTTAATGGGGCCTTAAGGGGTACTAATAAAAGATGAGATGTTGTGGCCAAGATGCGCATAAACTGCGGCAATAATTTTGCAACACACAAAATGGCCATTTTCCTTCAAACAGGAYTTCCAGACACACGGCTAGCTGCTGCTACCAATAATGTGCTTGCATGTATTTCAATTTCAATAACTATGTAAAAAAAATGACGGTGATGTAAAAGTTAGAACTTAATTTTATTCCTCCAAACTGAGGTCATGCAAAGAGCTACAACCGGTAAGATGTTTATKATTCATAAACTTTCCACAGAACACCACTTCAAATGATTTGAACTATTTACTACTACTTACAACCCCAGACGGGACCTCYGCTCACAGGATCAAAATCTCCTTATGGTTCCCCTCACTCGCTTTAAGACCCGTGGTGACCGTGCCTTCTCCTCTGTGGCCCCCCAGGCTCTGGAACAAATTCCCTGTTAATCTGCGCTCCTTTCATAACATTGTCTCTTTCAARAAACACCTAAAAACACTTTTTTACTCAAGCGTTTAGCTAACCATTCATCATTAATACCAGCCTRCCTCCAKRKTGAATGCTCGCCAACTATGTTTTTCCTATTATTGAACATACGGCAGATTTTTTTCCTCTCCCCCATTCTCTAGGTTTTGTGTATCTTTGTATATTTTGATCTGCATTGACCGTGTGTCTGAGTTACAATTTTAGAATTTAATCTTGATTTGATGTTTCATTACGTTGCTTATGTTTAATTTTGTTTTGCTCTGTTTCATTTTATCTTTCCACCACTTTTACATTGTTAATGATTGTACAGCACCTTGTGAATATATTTCTGTGAAAGGCGCTCTATAAATAAAACTTTACTCACTTACTTACTATTTGCTTGACCATAGGCTTAACATTGGTTTAAGGATCAGGTTTGGCTAGCACTGTCCTGTTAGATCAGGAAATAAAAATACGACACACACTAAAGACTCTGTGGGGTTTTTTAAAAAAATTTTCATGTCTTCAGTTTTTSTTTTCACTCATTTCCTTGTTCCATCTTTCTCTTGGCCTAAATTATTCTTAGACTTTAAGAACTTTCTGCCATTCAGAAAACGTGTTGTCATGTCACAGGTGTTTACATTTACATTATTTGTTGTGGGCATGTTTTCTTGGCCACATAAGAAGGAAAAACACCAAAAGCATGATATGGCCTAAAGAGAAACATGCCTGCAAACTGAGTAAAGTGAGATGATGATCCAGACACCAAAGAGCTGACAGGAGTCAGCTGCTCTTTACCACCAGGACAGAGTGTTCAGGTGAGGAAAGTTCTACAAACCCAACCAAAAAGGGTGTGATTGTTGTGTTCGTCACTCAGTGACTTTCAGCTCTGGAATTCAGAAGCTGGACCCGCAGACTTTACACGCTCAGTCAAGGGAGTTTAAGTAAACCAAGTCCTGAAGGAAACAAATTCCTGTGTATTATTTATAAATAAACACAGTGTTTCTATAGTAGGAACAAATACAGATTTAGTTTTTCAGAAGGTATATTGGTCTGAAAGTACTTTTGTTTACGTCTATCATTTCTATGCAGGGTCACAGGAGAACCGGTGCCTTGGAACGACAGACTGCCAGTTCATCACAGGACAAACCATTCACACTCACATCTAGTAACCATTTAGACTTAACAATTAACCTAACAGGCATGTTTTAGTTTGTGGGAAGAAACTGTGACTAAAGAGACTCTTGGTAATCATTGATTTAAAAAGTGTCTGTGACATGCATATCCTTCAAATACAAAAAGTCAAAGAAAACATTTTATATATAAGAAACAATACACAGAATTTTACCCATTTTGTCACATAACTGACGTATTTTCTTTGAATGTGGCTGAGCCAAAGTGAAACAGGAAGTGACATCAAAGGGGAACTCTTTAAGAAAGAAAACTCCCATTTGTTTATTGGCACAATAATTATAGAACTGACTCTTTTTTATTTTTCTTTGGTGACTCAAAATAATCTAAAGAAACAGATTCTTCTCTGTGTTGTTAGCTGTTTTAGCAATGCTCTGTTTACACTCAGATATTCCCCTTTGACATCACTTCCTGTTCCTACAAATGTGAAAATATCAACAAGTGTTCATCTCAGAGGTGTGAGAAAAAAGTTGTAATATGTTATTCATGTTATCTTTCCAAAAATGCATTCATATTTATTACAAACATTTGACGTTACAGGTACTTTAAAGTACAAAACTGTAAACAGTGGCACAGAGTGGCAGATAGCATTGGAGGAAAAAAAATCTCACCACAACAGTATTTGTACACTAGTTCATATATGAGACTGATTGATTGATTTTTATTGGTCTGGAGTGATGCCATTTGGAATTCCAGCCATTTAAAAGGCGGAACCCCCAGTGAACAAATAACTTGCAATGAAACAGTGAAATGGAATTAAGAGTAGCTAAAAGTAAATGTTATGAACTYTGCTCCTCTGCAGGAAAGTTATGTCAACAACAACTGACTCTAAAATATTTTTCCGTACCTGAATGGAGAGTGGATGAAATAAAAGATAAAACACTCTAAACACTGATAGTGCTGCTCCGTTTTTTGATGTTATTACCTCTAGTTAGGTCTCTTTTTTTTTGTTTCAAGTGTGTCTTTTTATCCTTTTTTTTCCTTATTACTATGCTTTAAGTGATCGTTTTATTATTTTATTTTATTTTTTTCGTCTGGTTGTCTCTTGGCTTTCACTGTGGACGGCAAAGTAAGAATTTCATTGCTCGGGGAAACGTGTTTTATCTGTGTATATGATAATAAACCCTTTCAATCTTTGAATAAAGTACTGAAGATTTTGAAAAGCCACTGTTGGAAAGAAGAAGATTAGCAAGTGATGAGCTTTGTGGCAAAATATTCTTRAATAATGAACATCTGGCTATTGCTTTATCTGTGGTCTTTATGGAAAACATACACTCACTGTATTTAAATCATTGCAGAAAACTGAATGAAATCAACACTATATTGTTTTACAGGATTTCTACAGATTGTTCCAGTGCTCTTTTAGCTTCCTTCAAATGTGTGAGCATCTGACTGAGTTTCCAACACTAAAAGGAAAAACCTGCAATCTCTAATCGACATGAACTGAAGAAATGTGCAGAAATAACAGAACAAAAGAAAGAAAAACAGAGAGGAGGAAGTTTAAGCTGTTTTATAATGTTGATATTCATGTGAAAGCTTATTGTTTAAAATATGAACAAGTTTGAAGACCAGACATTTTTATTTGCACTTAATACTTTATGAACTTTGTGGTATCAGCAGTGCAGTTTAAAATGAGTCATTTGRTTAAATCTGGCTCAATGCRTCTGCTTCTCTGTTATTTTGAGTTYCCTGGTTGGCAAGACATCCTCCCTATTAGTCCTGATCTTATCTCTCTGTTTACCTCAACTCACTTTCTGTTTCCTGAAACATGATGTCTCCCTCTGGTGGCGAGGGATCAAATGTTTGGACCACAACGTGATGATGTTTTTTTACACACAGTTGATAAATTTATTTATTTAGTCCAAAAGTTGTAAAAAGCAGCAAAAGTCTATAGAAAACTTGAAAAATGTTATAAATATTGATCAAGACTTTCAAAAACCACGAGAAAATCTGATCCCTGTACAGAAACTAAATTAAAAATTTAATATTTGCACAATCATGTATGTTGGTTTCTGTTTTTTATCTTCAGGTTTGATTTAATCTGGACTTGGTTTCACTGTTTCTTCATTCAAGCTTCATCCTGTTCTGTATTATTTCTGTGTTAGCCTTCTTTTCATGAGCTGKAACCATTCCTGAGATATTTTTCTCACAGCCTGCACAGTGGCAAAKCTTTAAGCAATGATGACACACAACCAACAACACTCAAGAGTAGGTGTTAAGACTGATTCTCAGATACTACCATACCAAATTTTAACTCTGTCTACAAATTTCACTGAAGTATAACTATTTTCACGCACGTGAATTTGGTTAATTTGTGGCAGTTATCTTGATAGGGTGGCTATGATTTCATCAGAGATACTAACACGCCAAATTTGAATTCCGTATCTCTAGAATTTGCCAAGTTTTGTATTTACCTCCACATTTGCTTTTGGCGGCGGGAGATAATGAGCTGGATCTCCATTATAACTTCTGCCTGAACAGATGGTGTCAGTGGTGGGATTCACTGCAAGGTTTTCAAGCTGAGGCATCGGTCTATAGTGTTACAAAACACACCACTTGCTAAAAAAATTGCAAAATAGCAAAATTGCTAACAAAYAGACTATTTTTWWTWWKTTTTTTCATTCATYCATCATCTTTAGCCTTTTWTCTTTCAAGGTCACGGGGGTCAYTAGTGTCTKTTTGGTTATGGTTTAACTGTAAGAAAAATGTAAATCCCCCCAACTTAGTCCTCACTGCAGATGGAACAATCCTTGAGCAGGTTACAGAGTACAAACACTTGGGAATGTGGTTAGACAGTTCATTGTCCCTCCGTCACCACATTACCACGCTGCAAACTAAGGTCAAATCAAAACTTGGCTTCCTGTATGGAAACCGCTCATCTTTTACATCCTCAGCCAAAAAGGTCATCGTTGAAGTGTGTATTCTTCCTTTGTTTGATTGTGGTGGCATAATTTATCACCATGCTTGCAAGGGAACTCTTCAAAAAATTGGATTCAATTCGTTACTCATGCTCCATATAAAACTCACCACTGTCTGTTGTACTCTCAAGTTAATTGGCTTTCCTTCCAGTCTTGTCCTGATACCCACTGGCTCTTGTTCATTTATAATACTTTATCATACCTTTATAATGGCCTTATGTATTTCTATTTCAATGCAGCAAATGATTGGAACTTCTTTACACTGCATTTTTACACTTYGATTTCTATTCCTCCTTTGAAACACAGTATGCACTGTATATGTTGTTTCCCCTTCCCCATCTTCCCGTTTTTAAGTGTTTCAGCACTTTCAGGCCAACGTTGTAAATAAGAAATTGTTCTTAATGTTTTTGCCTGGTGAAATAAAGGTTAAATAAAAAAAATTAATAAAATTTGCAGCAGTCACTCTGCGAGGGACAGGATGGTCACATGGCCACACAGAGACAAACTGAAATAAACATGCTCCATTTAAAAAAAATGAGCAAGAGATGGGAATAAAGCTTGGTTCCCACCTGAGCTCTCCAAAATGCTTCCTGAGCATAATTTAGCACAGACAAAAGCACAGAAATCTGGTTCTAACTCTGATTAGCTCAACTTCAACAGTTGTAAGGAATGCAACAACCAAGTATTTCTTGTTTAAAACATCCCAAAAGCTAAACAATCTATAGACGTTCTGGAAGACCATCACATATTTAATAGGTACTTTAGTCACTCGGAGTTCAATTCAGTTCAAATCATTTATGTAGCACCAGGTCACAACAAACATTGTTTTGAAGTAGCGGTTTTAGTTAGCTCAGAACAGTCACTGGGTGTAAGTGAGCAGGTCTTCTTCCCTTATTTGGAAAGCATTCAGACACTAAAGGTCACTTGTGACTTCGGTAAAAGTGTTTTGTGCACTGGAAAGTGGGAAACAAAAAAAGTATTTAGCTTATAAGAAGCAGATGCCAAATAAGGAGAGAGATGTTTAGAAATGCACTTTCATCATGAGTGTTATCTATATAAACATCTCCCTGCTTGTCTGACGAAAGCTTCGACTCATGGTTGTTTGTTAAAGTCGAGCCACTTCAGTCTCAGAGCACTTTACAAACAACAATCAATCTAAGGAGAGCACCTTGCATTATGAAGTACTTTCAATTTATCTCTGACGGTCTAAGCTGTTTGATTGCTTTATTAGTCATGGAATTGTTTCAAGTTCTATGAACTTTTATAAACAACTGAAGATTTTTTAAACATCTATTTTAACTGACTTACAGTCCAGTTTTAGAGCTATGCACAGTACTACTTAAACAACTTTATTAAATGATTTTATTGTTTTGTAAATAAAAAGCAACATTGTGCAGAACTTTTTCTTAATTTATCAAAAGACTTTGATACAGCTGACCACGAAATTTTGTCGYAAAGGCTCTTTGATACTGGACTGTCTCAGCAAGCAGTTGAATAGTTTATGAACTTCTTCTGCAAAAGATCACAATGTGTGCAAGTGGGAGGTCTTTCTTCTTGGCTTTAACCAAGGGTGTTCCTCAAGGCTTTATCCTACAYCCATTTCTTGTTATAATCTATATTAACAGTTTAAATAAAAATGTGCCACATGCTAATATTCATCTTTATGCTGATGACACTCAACTCAGCACAAAGCGCTTTTGAAAATCTACGAGCAGCTTTTAATGTGGTTCAGTCAAATCTGGTTGATCAAAAGATTGTTTGAATTCTGATGTAATCTAAGGTAATGCTGTTTTCTAATATTCAGATGAAGTCTAAACCGCAGTTGTTGTCAATAAAGATCACATTTTAACTTAAGGCTTTCAGAATGAAGTAGTATCTCATTACAACACCTGTGTTTTTATTGATGAATCTCTGACCTTTATTCCTCAGCTGGTGGAAAAAAATGTTGAAGCTAAAATTGGAGTGTTATTTCAGAATTAGATCTTGTCCACCATCTGAGGCTAGAGAACATTTTGTCACCACCACATTTCTGCCCATTTTACACTTTGATGACTTAATTTATTTGCATGCATCTTCTCACTGGTTGCACTTGTTGGACTCGGTGTACTGCGGAGCCTTTACCAGTGGTTTTAGAGCCCTTACCCACCACTGACTCCTGTGTTTCAGCGATGGATGGACTATCCGCCCACAGATTCCTTTATTTRCATAATCTAATTTACAAAGCCATCTTGGGATTACTTCCCCTGACCTCCTGTCCTTTGTTGTTATGAAATCTGCACTCCAATTAGTTCATTTTATTGCCTGTGCTGATTATGGCAAATGATTGTTCCACTTTGCTGCTCCCGCAGAATGGGATTAACTGCAAAAAGACYTGAAGTTGAAGGAGTTGATCTCTTTTAACGTCTTTATTATGTTTTTAAACAGTTTGTGGCATTTGTTTGGAACTGTTTTAACTGAGACTGAACTCTATTTTAGTCCTATTTTGCCTTTAATGTATGGGGGTATGGGTGTGTGTGTGTGTGGGTGTTTGGGTGTGTGTGTGTGTGTGTGTGTGTGTGTGCGTGCTGTGGAAAGTTAAACTTTCTCGTCTCTGGTGTAACACCATATTTGTTTCAAGTCTACTTCAACACTTCCTCTTTCTCCATCGACACATGCAGCAAACTCTCACAGTGCAGGCGTTCCCAGAGAGATGACTGAATGATAACACACAGGAGCAGGTGGTATATGTCTTTTTTTTTTTTTGCTGTCAATTAAATGCAAGTATTAATTTAGCATGTGGTTTTGCAAAGAGGAGGGAAGTGATGTGAAGATGAGCTTGAAACAAAACCAACAATCACTCAGAAAACCACAGCTCAGTTTCCTTAAAAAGGTCAGAGCTTTTCGGCACTTGAAGCTTCTCGGCAATCTCCTCCAAGCAGCAGCCATAAAAGGGTCAATTCCTTTTGTGATCAGGTTAGTGGAAGATGCTTATGGATTTTTATTTATTTTTATTTTATTTTTATGTGTGTGTGTTTGTGTAGTTTAACTTCTCAGTTGTCTCTGTTGCACACTATTATTTCCTTTTGTTCATAACTAATGAATAAAATCTATATGTAAGTGGTGCAACTTTAGTTGTTCCATTAGGGCTGTTTTTAAATACATTGTTCAGTATTTACTGTAAAGGAGGTCAGTGCTTTTGCCCAGATATTGCAAATCTTTTACCACATCCTGTTCGTTTTGATTTTACTGTCCTCACTAGAGGCTGAAAATTAGTAAAATCACACACTTTTGTTATGCTTTTAAGTAGTTTCGAATCAGAGTTTAAATTTTTTTTCAAATAATCTAGCCTAAAAATTTTCTCTTACTTGAAAGCAATCTGCAAAAAGAAGGAAAATAATAGTTTTCATTCAAAACTTTTTTAGAAGATAGGTGCAGCTCACACTATTTTTACATTTCCATTTTGATGTTGTCAGTTTTGTGTTTTCTCTGTTTTAAAGGCTGCTCAGTTTGTTAAATGGTGTGCAATATTTGTGTAAGCTAAAGGAATAATAACATTTATGCAAAAACTATGAAGGCATTATGTGAAGATTTAGGTTCATTGCATAAATAAGAAAACAGAGAAGAACTTTAACATTCTAAACATGAAATGTTCAAGCTATTTACCATTTAATGTAATGTTAYAGTAGATGTTATAGTAGACAAACCCTTCAAATCCTCAAAAAATAAAATAAAAAATAAACTGTTGATGCTCCTGTTTTGTTGCAGGAAAAGTGATGAAAATTTTAGCGAGAAGGACTGAACTACTAAATTGTTTTACAATTTAAGAGCAAATAGACAAGGCTTTAGTTTAACACTTGTTCAGATTAAAAATTTGGTAGCTAAACCAACTTGCAGCGTTCTTAAGATCTCTCCACGTGTCTGAGGTGTCTGTCTGTGACATCCTGTGTGAGAAGTTCCACATCTGTCCTGGCAGATTTATAACTTCTTCATTTTCGCAGGCAAAGTGAAACCTTAAATTTTCGGGTCTTGTTTCAACATCCTGGTTTCTGTGATGTCACGACGCTGAACATATTTATTGTAAAGAAAAACACGTTAACCTGATTTATAACCCAGCATTGACTGAGCATTCTTTCCCCCACCCTAGTTTTTCTGGTCATTTCCAAGGAAATATTTTAGAAAGAGAGAAACTGTCTTCACGACATTTAGACATTCCTAAGATGTGATTGCAGACTTTGATCAGAAAAAAGTTGCTGCTCACTGAATGCTTTTTTTTGTTCTGTATGCATAGAAAACAGGAAGCTTGCACAATCCTTTCATGGGACTGGATGAGCAAAGAAAGTCACAACTTGGAGCTGATGAATGCTGGTGAGTCTTCTTTATGTTTTTTTAATGACTAAGTTCTTGTGAAATTAAGGTCAACATGTAGAAGAATTCCTTAGGCTAAGTGTTAATTTCTACTTTCTAAATGTAGTTGTTGCAACTTTAGAAGCCAAATGTTTTATACAACTGACTTGAATAACTTGATTTAATTCAAAAATGATTTTGATTTTGGAACCTGTATAAAGTTGCACACTGTTGTTTTTCTTCCTGTAATAAATTTTAGATGAAATCCAAAGAGGTTGCCCCGAAACCAAATCTGATGTCCTTGAATGCAAACGACTGCAATTTTTTAACCATTTTTGCTGAATTTGCATTTTTTAAGAAAAAAATGTAAATGTAAATAGGGAAGTAAAAAAACATACCAGGAATTTAAAAGATTAAAACGAATTGAATTGTTTAATTCTTGCCTGTTTTTTATCAACAGGAGTTTCCGTACACAGAAAGATGGTATTCTGTTTTAAGAAGAAGCGCGTTCTCCTTGGTTCCCTTGGCTCGCTTTGCTCCTTTTGCTTCCTGTGCGCTTTGATGAGATGGCCGAGGCCAAACCAATACTCTGCTTACAAACCCAGCAAAAAGATCGTGACCATCCTGCTGTGGCACTGGCCCTTTGGGCGCTCAATGAGTCTGAAGGGAGATGTGTGCTGGGATCTCTACCAAATTCCTCACTGTACACTGGTGGATCAGCGGTCTTACTTCCCAGCAGCTGATGTCGTGGTCTTCCACAACAAAGAACTGATTCAGGGGTTGCAGAAGCTGCCCACTGATCTCCCACGACCWCCGGCCCAGAGGTGGGCATGGATGTCTCTGGAGTCACCTGACCATAACGGAGACTTGCGGAAGTTTGCAAATGTCTTCAACATGACTGTGTCCTACAGGAGGGATGCTGACGTCACAATACCGTACGGTGAGCTGCTACCTGTGGAGCTTGACGAACACCTGGTGGAAGATAAGTTCGTGAACAAGAGCTTCTTGGTCTGTTGGGTGGTCAGCAACTACATGAGCCGCCACAAACGAAGCCAAGTGTACAAAGAGCTCAAAGCCATAGTTCCTGTCAAGGTGTACGGCCGTTGGACGAGGACACCTCTCTACCCTGAAGAACTCCTACCGACAATCTCACGCTGCTACTTTTATTTAGCTTTTGAGAACTCAGTGGCCAAAGATTACATCACAGAGAAGTTGTGGAAAAATTCTTACCAAGGCGGGGCTGTGCCCATCGTACTGGGACCACCAATCAGGGATTACAAAGAAGTGGCTCCAAATCATTCTTTTATCCACGTCGATCAGTTTGCTTCAGTGAAAGAACTGGGAACGCACCTCCAACAGCTGGCAAAGGACAAGAGGCGATACGCTGAATATTTTGAGTGGAAGAAGCACTGGAAGGTGAAACTTTACACCGACTGGAGGGAAAGACTGTGCAAGATCTGCTTAATGTACGACCACTTACCTCAGCACAGGGTTTACTCAGATCTACAAGGTTGGTAAAAATAATACTGTAAAAATACTGTAGGCTGTTTGATTTGTAAATTTTTTTACACATATTTTAACACGGACGGAGCCAATTTTTTACATGCAAAGCATTCTGGGTAAATGATGACATCAACTAGGTCATCGGTGCGAGGCTGCTAGGGACCACCCTGAAGGTTAATCTTGGACAATATCTGACGATTGGCTCTTTTAAATGAAACCAGAGAGCGTTGACAGAGAGGAGAAGGTAGAAATGACTCAGCCTGTAACTGAAAATATAGATGGAGGACAACAGAGCTGCTTCATGGAAGAAGAACCTCAGCTTAGCCTATTAGCCTTTGCGCTAGCCCTCACGCTATATTGCCTCATTTGTATTAGCTCAGCGCTAGCGCGACAAACAAGCTAAACTGAGGTCCTCCATCCTTATTTTCAGTTGCAAACTGAGTCATTTTTGCGTTCCCCTCTCTGTCATGTGGATGGAAGACCTCAGTGATGAGAGAATGTGTAGCGCTGAGCTAATACGTATATATGGTGATAGCATCGGGGCTAACGCTAAAGCTAACAGGCTAAGCTGAGGTTCTTCTTCCATGAAGCAGCTCTGTTGTCCTCCATCTATATTTTCAGTTACAGGCTGAGTCATTTCTACCTTCTCCTCTCTGTCAACGCTCTCTGGTTTCATTTAAAAGAGTCGATCATCAGATATTGTCCAAGATTAAACTTCAGGGTTGATATAGCTCGCTAGCAGCCTCGCACCGATGACCTAGTTGATGTCATCATTTACCCAGAATGCTTTGCTTGTAAATAAAATGGCTCCATCCATGTAATATGTTTTTAAACTTTTAGTTTAAAAAWTATAAAAACTRAAMAKCCTACAGTATTTTTACAGTCTTTATTTTACAGTTAAAATATATGTTTATCACATAAAGTCTAATGTTACAACTAATCGTGGATCCCTTTAAATAAAATATTAGAAAATATCACTGACACGTTTTCATTATCTAGCTAACTTTCTGAGTGTTAAATTGTTTCCACTAACATTTCTTTGTAATTTAGCTCACTGTTTTTACATTTTGCTAATTAAAGCATTCAAGGCCGAATGCAGATCACCCGCCAGTTTAACTAGGTTGAACTCGGCTCGCGTTCCTCCGTCAGGCCTACAGCTCAATGGGCCAGTTACTCCAAACAACTCAATTAACTTTTCCTGTGAGAACAATAAAATTTCTTACAACAAATCATGGGTTTTGATACAGGTACAGACTTTAACGGGCCAACTTCTGCCTGAAGTTATTATACTTGACCTTGTATGACCTTAACCTTTAAACTCCAACCTGTTTAACCATATCAGGTCCTATCATTTGATGAATAACTAGAACATTTTGGATTTTAGCTACCTTCATGTAAAAATATCAACTCTATATCACCCTTAATGCCTGAGCTATGAATATTTATATGTTTTGAAGGGTTGGCAGGCTGTGGAGGCCATCTTGGATTTGATTGACTCTAAAAAGTAATCAGCTAGGCATTCACTTTGGCCTGTGATTTACAACAAAATTCTCCCCAATGTTCTTGAGCTACAATGGTGAGAGCAGACACACACAGACAGATGCACGGAGGTCATTACAGTAAATTTAAATGTAAAAATTAAATGTAAGATGTTGAAGTTAAGTGTTGAAGTTTGCATTTCATTATTTTCGAAAGGAACGCAGCCTTTGCCGTTGGTGCTCGTCTTGTTAGGATATCTTCATCCTGACGCAGCTGCTAACAGCGGGTTAGCGTTAGCTAACCATGATGTCATCATCACTCACTGCTAATGCTTCTAACTCTGCCATAAAAGGTATTTAAATTTTATATTCAGCATATGTACATTGAAGAGGAGACACAATTTATCATGATAGTATTTATTAAGTAATGACTCAGAATAAAATAGGAGTAATGACTTTCTACTTCTTACCTTTTTAAAAATGTAGTGAGTAGAAAGTACAGATAATTGTGTAAAAATGTAATGAGTAAAAGTAAAAAGTACGCTGAAAAATAATTACTCAAGTAAAGTACCGATAACCAAAATTTCTACTTAAGTACAGTAACAAAATATTTGTACTTAGTTACTTTACAACTCTGGCTTATTTGTATCTCCAGAGTTGTTCTAGTATAACTGAAGCAAAATGTAAGTTATTGCCAAGAGTTTATTTGTGGGTATATAATGATGACCAAAGTATCTGCAATGTGGTCAAAGAACTAAAAAACAGAATAGTGTAGGTCTTGTGTTTAAATGTTTTAGGTCAATGTCTGTTAAATTAGCTAACTTGTAGATAATTTTGTGTTGGYCAAAGTCGATTATCCTGGCGGCCATCTTGAATTGTGTTGACTCCAAAGGTTTTTTGGTTGTAGCAATGATTAATTTTAGGTTATATTAAAAACTGCCCTGTGGTTCATGAGATATTTCGCTAACATTCACTGACTTGGGCAAAAACAATATGGGGGATAGTTACCAGTCAAAAAAAAWTTGTTTTTACATAAAATCTTTTTAAAAGCTTGTAAACCGATTGCACTCTGTTCATTCACTAGTTCAGTGTACTCAATTTTTTAAGTGCAATCGGTTTACAAGCTTTTAAGCAATGATAACTAACGGATTTTACAGTGTAGAGGACTTAAAGTCCCCACATTAACTGATGTAAGAACATTAGCTTGTGACAAACTCAATGATTCATCTTCACCTACGCTGCATTTGACAATAAATGGAAAAGACCCACGATTTGTTCTGTCTTTACTTCACGTGTTCGATAAAAATGTGGTTTGTGACAGAAGTTCTCTGGTCTTTACAATAAAAATCATGAGCGACGTGTGATCTAACCACAACTCAGCTTCCCCAAACAGAAACGAGTGAAACTGAAGATACTGAGAATAAAGATTCACATTATCTGCAGTTGTTTTAGTTACAGCTACTGCTTAAACAGTTTCCAGTGAAAGCATTTCATGATTTGAATTGTCTAATTTGAATAACTGCACAACTTTTAACAGTTTATATTTTAATGGCTTCAAAGAACTAAACTTGTTCATCTTTAAGATTTATCTCTAAAATGTGCCCTGTATGGTTTATTTATATCAGATGTTCATTATAAAAAAGTAGTATTAACTGGCAAAGATACTAAAAGCTTGTTTTAACTTTTGTTTGAATCTTTTTATATGCATTTTTCCTCWTTTCATTCTTGCTCACTCCAGAACTTTTTATCAGAGGATGCATCATTGGAGAAGCTATACAAATTTATAAATRCAACATTCATGCCGAATTATGTTCAGAATTTTAATTATGGTGTTGCCATTCAGTCTTTTTATCCCCAACGTATCAATTTCTGTCAAGCTCTGCGTTTATTAAAGCAGCTCTTTGTTCAGTCAGGGTCCTGTTTTACTTCATGTGCAGAACTGGCTTTTTTTTTTAAATAATCTGAGCATTACAGAACCAAGATCCCAATAAATAAGAGTTATTGTGGCTGAAATGAAGGTTATAGTTCTACCGCATTCCAAACCAGGCACCCCTTTCACCAGCAGTTTCCCAGCTCCTTGTGGAGGGGGGGGGGGGACCCTGGGCACCCCCCCAGGCCCGAGATGTTCCTCCTGCAAATTCAGGGTCTCTTAGTATGTCACCAAAAAGACCCCAATCCAGCGGTGCTCATTTCTGATCCTCAAGGGCCACTCTGAGGTTTCCCTGCTCTTTGAGTTCTGCAGACTCCTGTTTTAGCAGGGAGAGATATAAAACAAGCAGGATAGTGACCCCTAAAAACCAGGATTGGGCTTCAAATGTACCAAACCAACAGTTCAGTTCCTTTTACAACCAGGGCAGAAGCTGATTAAAATCTTTCAATGCTGCAAAACAAAAGTGTCTGCACTCTTCCCCAGATACAAGGCTTCAATACAACACTGTATCGAAGGTCATCAGTCAGTTCTTTGAACTTTGTGGCTTTGGTTTGAGCAAATATAGAGGACAGTTTCACTGGTAGTTGTTGTGAATCAATATGTTGAGCATCAAGTAGATCTCAGAAACGGTACAAAAGCTGTTTAGGTGACTAATTCCCAAAGACATTTTTATTCATCAACTCAGAAACAAGACAGAAAATGAACCTCTCTGGAGGTGCTCGAGCTTACAGGAAAACTAAAAAGATGTTTATTCAACAGCAAAWAGGGAGTTGAACCTTAAAGTGACTCAATTCTTCAACTTTTGGACAGAAAAACAGATTTGTTTTATTTTTTCAGTGATGTGCGGACATTTCTGATCCAAGATATTTACAGATTGAATTTAAGAAAAGCTGACATTTTATAATACTGACTTTTCACATTACAGTAAGCAGTAAAACCAAATCATTGCCGTTTTTGTTGCTTAATTACAAAATTGTAAACAACTCYACATTTAATAAAACATTTCATTTAAGTCGCTAATTTAACAGATAGTTGCGTTTACACTAACTTTCTGTGCATCTACCACAATTCATCTGATGATTTTGTTTTTATTTGCAGATAAAACAGCAGCACAAATGGTCTAATGTGGATAGATTCTGACAGAATTTTAAATTACGCGTACAAAAATAATGTTTTGGCTACGATGCAGAGGTTGTGATTTTTAGAAAAAAAAAAGGTCACATTTCAATATATTAGGATATAAAAATCATAACTATTAGCTAAAATGGCATTGCACTGGTGGCAAATATTCAAGTCAGAAACAAACTGAAGATGAATCAGCTTTAAAAAGTTTAATGCTCCTAAAGTTGGGTTCTGTGGAAAGGCTAATATCTTACCTGCTGTAGATAGCTCTTTCAACAATGTTAATTAGACCAACAGTTCAAATCTGATGCTCGTTTACATAAAATTATGATTTCATCCAAGACGGCAGCTGTAGCTTTTCCAGCAKGATTATGCTAGGTTATCCATGTACTTAAAAACTGTCAGAGCAATTTTAAATAAACAACTGCATAAAAAGCTTTGAAATGTTGACACTGGTCGTTTTAAGATGGCCGCAATCTACTTTGGTCCTTTGCTCGATTTGAGCTAAATGTTAGCTTGTCAATCCAATAACATTCGTCACTCAAAGAGCCATCTCAAACAGGTATTTGCTCATCTTTAATTAAAATTTAGCATCCTTTTGTTGAATGTTTGAAGACTTTGTGTGCAGGTAAGAATAATGAATTAAAATGTAATAAACCGAATAATTCTGGTGCAAACTTTCTAAAACAAACAGGTTCAGTTTGTCTCTATTCTCCATCTTGGCTTCAGTCAACAGTTCACTTTTAAAATGTTGACGCTGACATTATACAAGCGTAATAAGTAAAACACACACCTGCAATGTYTCCCTTTGAATTTGGGTCTTTTACATTAATGTTTGAATACTTTTATTTTAAAGTTTGTGCAAATTTTTTTTAAAAAGAAGCAAACAAACAGCATTGCTTTGATTTTAGTGAGCAATTAAAAAGGAGTATTAGTTATATAGTTCTGATGGTACACAAATATTGCACAATTATTGTCAACTTTTCGAAAAATTAAAAAAATAAAAATCATGGACAACCTATCAAACAATACAAAAAAAGTGGATACTTATACCCTATTTTCACCATAGATCTGCACCAAATACTGAAGCAGACCATCTTTTAGTACAACTTTTAAAATGGTTAAAGCCTTAAAGTGTTCAGAATGCAACAGTGGATATAAAAAAGGCACAATTGTAAAATTCTAAATTGTTTAACAGTAAAAATAAGCCCAATTCTTTTCTCATTTTGCCCTTATTACCAGTCAAGTTTCTGAGTTCAGTCGCTTGGATTTGTGTCAGATGTAGGGAAAGCTGGTCTAGTCGGGAATACCCACCCAGTCTACCCTGTCAGGTGGCCCACCAGTCCGGAGTGCAGGGCTTGTTTCAGGACGTCCGGCCGGTGAAGCGGCGGCATGTAGAGCATGGGGGGAGGCGGTCCGGCGTAGCTGCTGGAGGACGGGTAGCCTTGACTGGAAACGGGGGAGGGGGCCACGCTCAGAGACRAAGGGCTCTGCTCGTAGTACTGACCGTCACACTCCTCGTCCAGCGGCAGGGCCAGGCGCTTCCCTTTCTGCCTCCGATTGCAGAACCAAACACGCACCACCTACCAAGTACACCGTTAGCTTCCACAACAAACCCTCAGAAAGGGAAAACACATCAATAAAAAGAAGTCTGCTCTTACGTCTCTTTCCAGGCCCAACTCATCTGCGATTTGTGTGATTTCCTGAGTGTTYGGTTTGGGACACTTGATGTAGAAGGACTCCAGGGCGGAGCGCACCGCTCCCTCCAGGCTGGTCCTCCTCTTCCTTTTTCTGGTGTCGACAAAAACTCGCTCAACCTTGTACATCTGAGGAACCACAAGCAGCATTTTAATGAGGACACACAGTCTGTTCATGAAAAACCGGTTCTGTCCACCGGGTGGCGCATTTGCATGAGCAGATGGACCTGATTCTTGTTGGCTCAGCAGGAAGCTTGAATACAGTAGGCCTGAAAAGACCAYTTCTATAAAAGTGAGTAAAAAGGCCTTTGTTGTCTTGTAAACCGGTTGACAGATGTGAGGAGCTGTACTCACATCTTGAGGATTTTCCGAGGTCTCTGCCTCGACCAGCCATCTCTGCAGAAGGGGCTTCAGCTTGCACATGTTCTTGAAGCTCAGCTGCAGAGCTTCAAAGCGACATATGGTGGTCTGGCTGAACATCTTGCCTACAAAAACAGCACAAAAACAAATACTCAGATCCCACAGTCCTGCAGATAAATCAGTTCTGATTTTAATCCTATAAATAAACCCAGTGTCCTTATATGAGAGCTTACCATAAAGGTTACCCAGAGCAAGGCCAACATCTGCCTGAGTGAAACCCAGAGTTATGCGCTTGTGTTTCAGCTCCTTGGCAAACTGCTCCAGTTCTTCAGTGGAAAGGTTCTCCTGAAAATCAAGTTTGATAAGAGTTTTGTGTTGAAAGGCTAAAAACAGACTTTAAAAGTTACAGATTGTCCCAGATTTTAGTTTGATCCGGAAGCGCTGAGGTCGTCTTACCTCCTCAGAGTCGCTGCAGCCCCCACTGGACGAGCCGCTGCTCCGCGTGTTGGAGGCCGGGTTCTGCGCCTGGGGCTCGGCCGCGGCTTGAGCGGAGCTCACGCCGAAACACGCGCTCCGCGGAGTCCCGTTGATCGGAGGTGACGGGGACATGGAAGGGGACGACGCAGAGGGTCCCGGTGGGTTTTGGGCACTGGTGCTTGGCGGGTTGATGTGGGCGATCCCTGGCCAAAAGGTCGGGTTCCAGGCYGCGGGGTAGAAGACGCCGTGGTGGTGGTGGTGGTGGGGCATGCCCGTGGAGGATGACGGCACCGGGTATTGCTGGACCTTCATCTCGGTTGAATACTCATCTCCGGTGTCCTTCTCGGTCTTGATCTCGGGCAGCCTAATTTGCTCCCGGGTCTCAGCGATCTGGGGGCTCAGGTTTGCGGGCTGGGTGGCTGCGGTCACGCCGGGTACCTGACCGGTGTACTCGGGCGCAGTGAAGGGATACCAATGCTTGGGTTGTCCAAAGTCTCCAGCTTGCAGCTCGGAGTCCCTGTAGTCGCCGGGGACGGTTGGGAACGGGAGAAAGGCCTGCGCGGATGGGGCTGCGATGCCTCCATAAGCTGTCTTGCTGTAAAGCAGGCTGGGGTCCGGCAAAACACCATGAGGAAGCTGGAACGACGATGAAGCGATGCTTAAACTTTCTTCAACAAAAACTTGACTGTAAGCGTTGGCTCGGCTGTAATCATAAGGTCTGCTCTGGTACTCCGGACTCTGGGGCCTCTCAGACATCTTTCCAAGAACGTGAAGACCTGTTAACAAACAGGCATCCAAAAAAAAAAAAAGCTTTAAAAAGTTGAAAAATGAATGGCTTTTCTCATCCCAAACTGAAGCTGGATCAAAAACGCACCAGTTTTAAGCGGGAGAAAATATGGTGCGTAAAACGAACCGTGCCCCCAAAAAGTAGGCCTCAGTTTCGGTTCTGGCGCAAGACTAACACTCCTCTCCATGAAACCCAGTGTTCAAAAAAACACCTCCCAACTCACCTTCAAGCTCAAAAGTGCTCATCCCGACTCCTGACTCCGCAGGTTTCTCCAATCACAGCTGCGGCTGCGCGCTCATTGGTCCACCCAGACAATTACGCACAGCTGAGGGTCAGTTCGAGAATGACCTTGATTCTTCCCAGACTAAACGGGGCGTGTTTTGTTGTTTGACACAAACTTTCAGTTTATTTTTGGAGCACGCTTTTCCTTGTAAATTTGTGAAGCAATTTATTGGACTAAAACATTAATACCTGTAAACATATTTACATTGCTAATGGGCACGGGTCGGTCGGGTCTCCTCCATATTGCATCAGTGCAGAGTTTGTATAGGATTTCTTGTAAATGTGGCAAAAAGCCTTTGACATTTAAATCTTTGATGGCGATGCTTCAGTTTAGATTGAATCCATCAATTTAAGCTTGATTAAACCTGATTAATCAAAATCGGATAACGAAAGGAGAATCCAGGATTAAAAATGTTAATCTGATATGGACATAAATAACGTTTTTATGCACGCATTTTAATGTTTGTTTTCCTGTTTGATCAATATTTGCATGTTGGTACTGAGTTTTTCCATTTGGGTCTGGATTTATTTTGGTAAATGTCTTATTAGATTGCATCTGTTATCCATGTTTCCTCAAAAACAGTCTCTGTTGAGATGGTTTCAAACTCCCGGGCTTGTCCAAACTGGATTTGTTTCATTAGGAATGGAAGAATGTGGTGATTCAGAGCCCCCCCACACCCCCTCACCCCCCAACGGCCCGATCACCGGTGTAGAGGAGCGCGGCCCCCCCTCAGCGCGAATCGATGGCCGCAGATTGCGGCAGGAAGACGCACTGCGGGAAAGGAGCGGGGGGGGTGCCATTGTAGGACGTGGCCCCGGGGCACCCCGTGGATTTCAGATGGCGAGTTGCGATGGTCGACCATTAGCTCCTTTTCACATCAGAACAATAAGTCTCAGCCCTTTGATTGCACCCCCACCCCCACCCACCTGAAACAAACACCAGACTGGAGTTTCGCTCTGCTCCTTCTACCTTGGCATTCAGTCTCACATGGCCTAAAGGTCGCCCCCCCCCCCCCCCCCCCCCCAAAAAAAAAAAAAAAAACTGGTCTGAGAACCAAGGTGTCTGCAGGTGGGGAAAGAAAAAAACTCCAACACTCTCTGGAATGTCCTTTGGTGGGACAACAGAAGTGAAATCAGTCTTGATAAACTGTTCAAGAAGTTAAAGAATGTGGAAAAAAAAACCTAAAGTATTTACTTGCAGGAGATCCTCATGAACCTCAGTGTGGGAAGAGCACAACGTACCAATCAAAGGCTTAAAAGACATCAAACTCCATCCATGCAAGCATTGTCCTGGGCAATGGACTTGGGAGGATGATTGTCATGCAAAAGGCCAAACAGCAAGCGAGATAGCAGTCTTCAGGCTGCATGGGCTTTTGGGAGAAAGAGAGCTCTGAGGGAGTCCCAAAAAAAGTGGGGGGGTTGGTGTTGAATAGCTGAGTACAGTGAGATGTGTGAGGGGAGGGTTGAGCTGCAAACCCCCACAGATTTCTCAGATCTTTTTTCTCCTTTTCTTTGCAGGGATCTTGGAGAAAGTGGCTTTTTTTTAAAGGCAAGTTTAGTGCTAAAACAAAAAAATAAACAGATGGCATTATAAAGACATTCAAATATTTCTCCTGTTTAAACAGAAAAGGTTCCCCTCCGGTAATTACACAAGACGTTTGGACAAAATAATCCAAAAGGGACACATACTGTGTGGTCATAAATCCCTAATCTCTGTGGCTCGAGTCAAATTAATTCAAATGAATTAAACTGAGTTTGTCTCATGCAATACATTTTGAATACACTCATTTCAACTCAAGAGGTAAATGGGTCAGTTTAATTCATGTAATTAAAGACAAATGAACCCCAAGCAGCTCTTAAGTCAAAATATGCATGTTACAAATCCCAACAAAAAGGTGTTTTATTCTCCGTGTTGCCTTGATTTTTCAGATAATACAAAAAAATAATAATCCAAACGCCATTTTAGCAAGAGATTTTAGTCCCTGCTTCCTGTTTGTCAGAGATCTGATAAAATACCAACACTGCATTCTTAATTCTGTCCCTCCTGTTGAGCAGCACAGCCATCCCCCACAAACAAGTCTGATGGCTTTTTGATTTTCTTCTCCTAAAGAGATCCTTGCCTTTGACACCCACCTTCACATAGCCCCCCTCGCCGCCGCCTCCCCACCCCACTGTATCCACTCTGGTTTTCTTCTGAAGGCCATCGGCTGCCTTCCCTCTACCGACTGCCACAAAGGCTTTAAATGGCCCTTGGCATGTGGCTCAATAGGGACAGGAGACTGACCCATCCCCTCCCTGACACACTGGAAACACAAAGGAACAAGCAGTTTTTCTGGGTGATGTGTTGGTCGAACGCAACCTAACAAGTGTCACCACAAAGCAGAGCAGAAAGTTAAAACAGGTCAAGATGGATAACAAAGTCAAAGTGTAAAAATATCATGTTTTAAAAAATAATTGAGGATTATGACTTTCTGGTTTAGCAATAGTCTTGTTCATCTATCATGCACTCGAGGAAGTCTGTCATTAAAACAACTGTGTCACAACTGTGACTGACCCATTACAAGATGTAGTTTGTTTTGTGTATGTAGTCTCCATGTAACATGATAAACCTCAGCTACTTTTTTGTTATTTTTAAGCTTAAAGTGTACAGTACAATCAGGATTTCTATGTAGAATTGAAGATTTTTAACATTTACACAGTACAGAACAGTACAAATTGTGCCACTAAGTTGTGGAAAATGACCACCCTTATAAAATGCAAACGCTTCAAACAAGCCAACTTGAAGGAAAATTAACCGTTTTAAAACACAAACTCATGTCTGAACAATAAACCCAGAAAATGATGACTATAAAAGGAAATTAAAAAGAAAAACAACCTAACTAGATAATATGCATTTGCTGCAAAAATGCAGTGTGAATGCTTAAGGGCTGAAAGATTTGGTGCTAAATAGCTAAAAACAGCTGAAAATAGCACAAAGAACCAGAAAGAACACATGCTTGCTGAATTAAGCAGGAAGAGGCTGACATTATCACAAAAAGGTGAATTAGAGAAAAAGCTCTAATTAGCTAAAAGAAAGGTAGCTAAAACCAGCCTAATGGAAGTCGAAGGAAGCTAAAATTAGTACAAAAAATGTTTAAAAAAAGGCAGAACCAAAAGTAAAAAGTACAGTAAAAACTTATTAACATTTTGACAGGATTTAAGGATGAAGACAGCTGTTTTTCAATGAGGAAAAACATGAAAAACTGCATCTCAAAAACTACAAATTGCTGAAGTACCAAAAGACATGGGCAAATGTCCTGAAGAAGCTGAAAGCTTTGATTAAATAAATTGTTAAAATAGCACAAAACATGAGTTGCGCGCCAAAAACCGCACAGAAAAAAGAATCTTAATAGAGTGAAAGCTTTAAAAGCATTCACACCAATTACAGCATTCATTTTACGAACAAAAATAATCACAGTCTTTTTTCCATACGTGGTAAAAAGTTTTAATTTTCTCTTTTTAGTCTGCATGTACAAATATCTATAAAAAGTGAACATCATCACTCTTTGTATGTACATTTTGCAGCACAGGGTTATTCGGGGAGGGAAAAAGGGACAAATCAAGAGTTTAATATTTACCATCGAAACATCCAATGCTATAACTTGTGTCCAGTTTCATTCAAGAGCTCAGAAGTCACTTTACATCAAATATTTCCTTCATCAACAGGATGCACACACACAGGAGGCAGAGTGATCACACGTTACAGTCAAACCATGCAACATACATTGTTAAATACTATAATTTTATATATATTTTGTAATATATTAAACTGATTATGCGCATCCCATAATGGAAAGAAATTAGCAACACAAGCAGAAACAATTTACTAAACATTGTGTTGTGTTGTTACAGAGGTATCATAAAGATCTGATAGAAAATATTTCCTAACGTGATTCAGCCATATGAGAAAATAAGAGAGGGCATCCTCTGTATTCTTGTGTATTTATATGTAGCGGTGTCAGTGTGGAATACATTTTCTCTTACTGTATGATATTCTTTGGAAATAGCTGTGAAAACCTAAGACTTATAGTTAAGACAGAAAAGGAAAATCTATCTCTAAATCAAACAATTAAACAAGACAAACACCTTCAGAGATATCTAGAACTTAAATGATAAATTATTAAAAGATGAGTCGCTCTAAAACAGTGACAGAAATAAATTAACAGGAAACCCGTCACACGTTTGTTGCGTTAAAAATCCACAGTGGGAAAAAACAAGTTAAAAAGGTGGACAARAAAACAATCATTTGATAAAGTCATTCTCATTTTCCATGCAGGCAGAGTGAAATTAGAACCCTTCTTCCCAAGAAATATCTGATTAAGTGTGTTTGTATTTCTGGGGTGTTCTGAATTCACTTGGAATTCCCCTGATAGTCTTGAGATGAGTCATCAAACAGTGGGTTCTTCACCTCCATCTCCCCAGTCTGCAAACGGAAGGCAGAGAACAGATAATCAGTTTAGAAAAAAAAAAAAAAACATGCACCAGAAAAGATTCTTGTGGTTTAGGTGTGAGGGCATAGACCCACCGGAGCAAGTCCGGGGCACTCGTACACCGTGAAGCCTCCTCCCACTTCCTCCTCGTCTGACGTGACCTCGCTGTCAACGACTTTCTGTTCAGGTTTGTGGCTGGAGATACAAAAACAGGCTCAATAGGTAAAAATACAAAGAGGATGTGGTGAAAATGTAAAGTTTGAGTGGAACCACAGCCAAAAATAAATAGAAATTACTTTTCCATTGAGAGCATCTGTTGTTTTTGGTGTTGGTAGTGAAACATTTGAGCGCTTTGAGCCAGAGTCTTGTCGCCCACCTGAAGTAAAAACAAGAATGAGATATGAGTGATGCTGAAACTGTAACTAGGGGAGAGGTAAGGTGTTGGGCATCTTTGATATGACAGGAAACACCACAGTGCTTACCGACGTGCCATTAACTGTGGCAGCAGGGGCACTTGGCCCTTTGAAAGCCGGGTAATCCACCTTCTCAGCAAGACGTGAATCTTTATGCAGCCTGTAGGGGGCGATATGAACACGAGTTACATGTAACTGCCAACCTAAATCCTGCTTATCGCCTGAGCACATTTTTTATAGGGTTTTATTTAAGAGTCATATGAAATCAGTTTAAAGAGCTCATCTATTACATGTTTTTAAATACAATGAGATTAAAGTTAAAGCAGGCTTTTTCTGCTTCCTTCACTGTTAAAAATGTAACCAGCTGCTGATGAAGAAACAACCTGGACTGATGTGTTCTTTCAAATGTTAGACCATTTCTAAACTTAYTTTTTTAACCAAAGGTATTAGAAAGAAAAGTTTTTACTCAACTGCAGTCCTTTTAAAGTGTCCACAAAGTTCTTGAATTGTGTCAGTCCTATTTTAAAGCCCTTCCCAGCACAAAAACTGCCCTTTTAAAAGGTTTTTAATGACATTTTATTTGCTACAGATTCTGGAGACTGCTGTACTTTTGCTTTTCGAACTGACAGTGGCCCTGGATTGGTTCAGGTCTTATCTGTCCGACAGGAGTTTTTCTACCAGCCTTGAAATTTCTGTTTCCCCCTTAGCCCCCCTGACATGTGGAGTTCCCCAGGGATCCATTCTTGGTCCCATTTTATTTTCCATAAGTGCGCTCTGAATAGGCTCAGTTTTTAGAAAATTGGACATTCTTTTTCAATCCTATGCAGATGACACCCATATCTATCTTCAGTTAAAGTGTAACCATTCTTCACTAAAACCACTGTTTGACTGCCTCAATGAAGGAAAAGCTTCAAATTTTTAAAATTTCGACAATAAAAATGAAGTTATTATTTTTGGACCCTGTGTTAAATCGTAGTGCTTCTCCCATAGATCTAGATAACGTGGAGCCATTTGTAAAATCTCATGTCAAAAGATTTGAGGGTGATTTTTAATAAAGCATTTTGGCCAATGACGGTTGTTTTAAATGTGCTATAAAAATAAAAGTTAACTTTACAAAAGAGAAAAAGTGAGGTTAAATTTTAATTGGACAAAGTTTTCTCTTTTAGAATAATAAGAAAATCAAGCAGAAGTGTTATATTACTTATGTTTTGCTTGCATAAATTTTCCACCACCAAAAATAGGTTAGGGTCTTTGTCTAACAGAGGACACAAATATTAGAGTACTAGTATACTTTGAGAGTATTTTTTTAAAAAAAAACACCCTAGTTCAGTCATCAGACCTCCTATGTGTTGTTTTCTCTGTCCTTACAGAAGTTGGGATTTTCCACTTATACTTACTTGACGAAACAAACCGCAGCTAAGATCACAGCAACAGTTCCCACCACGGCACACGCAGAGATCATAACTGCAGATTTTAAAAAAGGAACAAAATACAGAAAGTCTGTAATAAACATATATTATAAGATATTATAAGATTTATTCTTCAGATATTATATTATAAGATTTATTCTTCAGATATTATATTATAAGATTTATTCTTCAACTGTTGCCTTTCATTTTATTTTGATTGCATTTCCGTGTATTGTTACAAACAAATAAATAAATGAAAAACAAAAATCTAATAAAAAAGAAAAGGCCTCCAATTGGAGGAAATGTTGTACGTTAAGTGTGTGGACATAAAACTACACTCACTGATAATGACATTGTCATTTTTAGAGTGTGGAACAGCTATAGGACCAAATCGGCCATCAGCTCCAGTGATCCTGGGCTGGGAGGTCGATGTGTTGGGATGGGTGGCGCCTGGAGTTGCGGTGGTCCCATGCAGGGTTTCACCTGAGAGTCTGTTCTGGTTCTGCAATTTCTGTTCAGAAGTCTTGTCATCTTTAACATCAGATTGGAAGGAAATGGACACTGCGGGAAAAAGACAAACAGTAAAGGAGTGCAAATTAAAAATTATTATAGCTAAATAAATAAAATGTATAATGAAGAAATGTGGTAGATATGAAAATAAGACTTTTATCTTTAAATATATTTTATCAGGGCAAGAAATAGTTTCTTGATTACACACTTTAAACTTCTCGTTGGTTGTGTTCCAGATCTCTTACCAGCTTGTTTTGGTAGATTTTTTGTTGTTTTTATCTGTGAATCTTGTTGTTTTTCTATGACAGAGTGAAGAAAATCTATTTCCTCATCCAGGTCAGTGAAGGTCATGACTTTGCCTAAAGATCAAAATTCAAAGTGTTAGCAACGGGAATAAATTAATGAAGTTTTTAAAAACACATTTGTATCTCAACAATTAAAAAAGTGTAAAGAAACATAGAATGAAAAATGTTCAATTTTCCTGCACTTAAAACACAACTTTGGGTGCCTGAACTGAATTAAAACAAAATTCTGAACAATTTACTAATTATGTGTTGAGCCCTCTGGGTTTAAATTGTCTCACTCATTCAGCAGCTCAGACTCGCAGTGGAAAACTACGTTACACAACATTGCTCAGCAGCAAAGGAAATCCAACCTCTCCGTCTTTTTCTCCTCCCAGTTTTACCTGCAAATCAGTCTGCACTCACTCTACTCATGCCTCGTCTTTTAAATGTATATTCTCACATGAAATTGGATAATTTCTTATCCTAAGTATAAATATTTTTAGCCAGACAATGTAAATGTAGTTTTATTTCCACTGAAATCACATTTAAGGACAGGAAAAGTCCAAAACAATTACCACCTAGTAGTAAAATTCTTTAATAAAAATCATTCTGATTCATTAAAAAAATAAAGAAGTGACAGTTTAACTGATAATTGATTAACTTCTTTTATTCTAATCTCTTATTTTCAGACCAATCATGTTTTGTACTCCAGAAGTTTAAAGACAACTTGGAGTATAAAATGTGGATACACAGTTGAGTTTGGTGCGTTTTACGACTTTCAATAAAACAGAAAGTCAGGGGACACATACATATGGTTTAGGCGTGTGTACATGAATGTATGCATTTGTTTGCCTCTGAAATGTCCGACAGGGAGTGTGCCCATGTGTGTTTTTTTTGTTTGAGGAACTGGTAAAAGAAAAGAAAAAAAAAAGGCAGACAATCCTGAAGTGTTGTTAACAGCCCTTTAGGCCAGACAGCGAGCCACATTCCTGCAGGACGACTGTGGGCTCCAGGGTGACAGCATGTGTGTGGCCAGGGGAAGGAGCACCGCAGGGGGGAAAGAGCAATCAGCTAAACATGGCTTCACTGGGCTTCTCCTGCGACATTTACAATAGATCCCAAAGCCCACTGTTAATGGAGGTAATCAAAGAGTTATCTCCCTCTGTGAGGCTTCCCTGCTATTACAAGTAAAATTATAGCTGCAAAAAGTAAAACACGATACATAGACTTCAGACATTATGACACTCCCAGAAAATGAGTTAATCAACTTAATATCCAGAGCCAGCACATTCTGTGTTCAAAGCACTGAAAAAAATTAAAGAGCAGCAACTGCATCTAAACAACTGACTTGTTTGCTACACCTTCATCATGCTGCAGATTACAGTGTCACTCTCACTATAGAAGGCTGGCCATCTGGCTGAGCTAATGTGTACAATATGACATAGCAGCACTTTCCCTGGCTGCTTTTTTTCTTCTTCCTTCCCACCCCCCTCCACTAATGGCCATTTAATGCACCCCATAACAGGTGTCTGGAGGCGGAGCGCGCCATCTGTACTTTGCAGGTGGTTGGGAGCACCAACTGTGCCTGTGTGCGCACTGAGAAAAGCGTGGCCGTGCAGGTTTGGATATTAAAAAGAAACAGAGAGAACTGACTCTTCGGGGTTTCAATGAGAATGTGTGTTTCTTTCAAGAGACTTTCATGTGGTTCTGTTAGGGGCGATAGTTGGTGCTGATCGTGTAAATGTGTGTGAGGATTGTCACACACTCAGAAAGCACCTCTGCTTGTAGAAGAGAATTTTGTCACTGGCTTGATAATGACCCATAACCTCTTGAGAGCACTAAGGGGGGCAGCCGGGTACAACAAACAAACACTAAACATCTCAACAAGAATTGTGGGGAACAAACATCTGCGCTGTTGACTTTTCCCACTTAAAAACCACTCGTGTCTTCCTTTCAATAAAACACACACTTGCTTTCCACCTCTGCTTCCTCAAATTATATAAACATAAGAATAATGAAACATTTTTATTACAATTTACTTGTCTAGAATTGTAAAAATCTACTGTAATAATGAGAATATGCATTGTAATATCACAAAATATTAAAAACAAATGTGGCTCTTGCAATATTAGCAGCAAAACTCAACAAAAATCTCACAGAAACTTAATAAAAACACTAGCAACATCTGCTAAATCGGTGATCAGTTCACTTGCTTCTGAATTCATTTTCTATCAGCTCAAGCCTATTTTCAGTATTTAATTAATAGTAAAAATCATTTACCCAAAAGTTTAAAAAAGTATGAAATCAGGGGTGCCCATTGCAATGCAAACCACATTCATTCAAGACATTAATCTAGTTTTATTACTTTTTTTTGTAACCAAGAGGTGTACTTTCAAAGTTAGCTTTACTGATCGAAAGCTGTCTGCTGCCATCTGGTGGTGAAATCAATAAATGAAAGAAAAGGGGGACAAAAACAACTTCAATTCAACAATCAAATATTCACCAATATTCTAAAATAAAATAAACATCAGTTGACATAATATCAAATAAAATGTAAAGAATATTAAAATACATACAATGTTTGCATGTAAGTCCCACTAAAATAACCTGAATCAACAACATTACTTTAYCACGTTGACCAGTTTGAGTGTGAGGAGTGGAGCAAAGTTAAAATGTCACTTGTTAATGAAACTCCCTCCCATCTTTGTTGGATTATGTTCTTCATATTTGTGGCACTGAGTCAGAGTTCCACCTGCTCCATAATGTGCACAACTTYGAATGAGGACATGAAATGTGACCGGCCATATCTTCAATCAGCAAACAGTCCCACCTGCCTTTGTACATCTACCGACGTTACCACAAAGATGTCAATGAACCACTCAGAACGTTCAAATCTATAAACAGATTGTGGTAAAATACATTATCACAGTCAACAAAACAGGAAAATGTTTATTTTAGATCAAGATGGAATATTGAATTGGTGTTAAATAGTCAAAAATATGATATATGGTTGATTTTATTATAAGTGTAACTGATAAAACATTAGATCTGTCCTGCAAATTTGAGAAATAAATAATAACATACACATGACATATCGAATTGTAAATATAAATCATTAAAAAAAGCAGAAAGTCTGACATTAATATTGGTCATTTTCATGCAGTTCAGTGAATTGTTTCTCATTCACTCCCTTCAAAATAATATAAATTGTTTTGTAGATGTTAGCAAAAATAAATGATATAAAGTTTCTCCGTTAGTGTATTTTTCCATCATAATGTTGCCATTTACTGCAGATCTTTGCCAGGTTGTGTTTTGCTTTACCAAGAGACTGAACAAAAGAGAAATAAACAGAATTCCATTTAGTTTTATGTAAAGATGTCAGAGATAAAGGATGAGAGGCCATTTAAAGAAACCCTGTAAAACAAATGAAACTCAATTAGAACGTCCCAGACAGTTTAACTGCATATAAAGAAAACATACTCTGTCTGTTTGGGCTTCCCATCAAAGCTCTGAGGCACATTGTGTATTTACAAATGACTGTGAACGCCTCCATGTCAAATACAGGCAGGTCTCACTTAACATGGAAGTCCTACCTGTTCTACTGAGAAAACTCAGCCACTATCAGTAAAATATTTCAAATATAAAACTCTTTTTTTTTTAAACAAAGCCAGAGATTTTTCTGTCAGTGCTTATACCTTCATGTGACATTATAAACAAACAGACCACAGGTAAAATTATAGTGTGATTGAACCAGACATTATTTTATTCAGTCCATGTATCACAATTAGAAATTCTTGTTTAAAAAAAAGGAAAAAAATTGTTTTGATTTTATTGGTTAATTAGGCAACAGCCGCAGCCAGACGGGTTTGAAGGGGGGTAAAAGTCTTAGCGCTGCAGCTACAGCAGCTTTAAACTGTTTCCATGGTTTTTAATCAAATGAAGGAAAACAAAGAGGAAGCAGTGAAACTCGCCTCATTCTGGGTTGGGTTACATGAATATGATGACAGCAATATCCTGCACAACTCTTTCATCTTGTTTTTGGTTGCACTCTACCACACAATTAACCCAATCAAGTCATTTCTATTTAAGTTTTCACCAATAAAATTAGTTTACTCTTAAYGGTGAGCTTTACATTTGCTGTAAAGAGGCACAGACTGACACTAACCTCTGATGAATCAAAAACTGTAAATATATTGTATGTTTCTGACTAACTGAAGGAAACCGTCATATTTCATCTACTCGCATTAACATTTTGTGCATCTTTGTGTGGCGAGTGTGAAAATAAGAGTCACTCTTGTGCGGATCAGTGTGTTCTGTGGTCTCCAGTGGGTTTATGTAACCACTTGATGCAGCTTAAATGCCTGCACGATGTTCTAGAACGCCACATGAACGTGAGGATATTTCATCATAATGCAAGTCCCTCCCTCCTTCTGCGTACCTTTCTCTCCTGTATGTACATCCAGACACTTATTTTCTTCAAATTTCCCTCTGATGCTTTTGCCAACTGTATGAGCCGATTTTGAACTGAATCCACCGCAGCTGCAAACCCATCCAATCTATTAATCCTGCAGAGATTTACCATGCACCCGCCAGCCGTTATGAATATGTTCRCTTAAAATATTCACATGGGTTCGCATTTCATCTTCTCTCTTCGGTTTCTGTAGTGGCCTTCTTGAAACGTGACRTGTGCTGCGAGCAGTGCAAGGCCGTGGAAATCAGAAAAACGAGATTTGTTTTTACAGCTTGCCTCTTCCTTTGAGCGATATTAGATTCAGGGAGGGAGATGGAGGACAAAAGAGAGAAAAACATGTCATCGCGGTGATTAAAGCTGCCAGTGAGGGGGTGATGCAGGGTGGTGTGTTACAAACACAGCAGGGACAGGGATGGATTAAAAAAAAGAATAAGCTCAGGCTGCTCTAAAAAGAGAGGGTGAGAGATACACTGGGGTGAAGAGATATCTACAACTGGAGCAACATCATCAAACAAAATACTGATAAATAAAAATCTAAATATTAAAAGGATCAGCTCCACCTGTATGCCCAAATAACATTTTAAAATACTCAAAATAGTACTATAGTATAACAAAAAATGTATTAAAAAACTACATTTTAGGACTTACTATTGTAAAAAAGGGGTCAAAACTTTTTTTTATTTAAATATACTTACATTTTTAAATATAGAAGTTTAATTGAATACATAAATATTTGTGTACTTTTACTCAATGTATTTTTCCAGATGTTTTGGAGGTAAGTGCATAAATGATACATAAATGCACACACAAAAACAAGCAGTATTATGCACAAATAACATTAGTAAAAGAATTACGTTAGATCAAATTTAGCCTGATTYGCCAAAGGAGTCTGAAATTAACAAGTCACAACTGCTGATTTAATCTAAATAGAATAAAAGTGATTTTTTTTCCAGGTTATTTCCTTTAATCAAATCAATCAGGCCTTTACTTATTTAATTTAAATTAATTAATATTTGYTCTGCCATTAAAACCAGAAAAAACTGCTGAATGGAGAACAGAGACTAGTAAATAAAATATTTAATTTCCCTTATTTTGGTAATTTGAGTAAAACTCTGCTTCTTTGCTGTGGATGCAGAAATGTAAAAAAAAATGTAGCCAAGTTTCTGTTAGAGCCGTAACGTTCTCATGAGAKTCAGTTTGTGAATTTAGTGCGTGAAGTCTTGTTTCGTACTGTTTTGATGGCGTCTCCTCTGCACACAGCGTCCATCCTCGTTCTCCTGAAATGGCGACAGACACGGACCGCAGTGAGACGAACCCGGCTGGCAGTGGTGGCGTCGTTGCTGGACGCACGTTAAAGAAGAGGGGCACYGGTTGTGAGCTGAAAACAACAAAATGAAAATGTTTAATCAGAATCAAAGCGTACTGGGGTGATGCAGGGTTAAGGTTTTCACTGAGGCAAGAAACATACATCGCCACTCAAACAACCYAGTTTATTAGTCTAAAAAAAAGACACATCAGTTACATCCCAATCCTGTTTATCAGAACAAAATAAAAACAAGGACATGTTGAAAAGATCYCTACACACTGCAGTGATGTGAGGACGCTCCACCTTTACAGGGATCCAAATCAGGTTAAACCCAAATAAAGAGTGATGTGCAACTGCTCTGTCTCAATCAGGTTAGGYAATTACTTGACCTCATTACGGTCTGTTTCGGAGAATTTAATTTAGATGTATGCACAAGCAAACAAACCCACAGCTTGTGAGGCACAGCAGGTGTGGTTGGCTGACGCTATCGGATCGGATRATGAGCTCAACGGTGCTGCTGCAGTATGGGTCAGTTAAAGGTGAACAGCACAGTGGGTGTTGATGCTGGTAATAAATAAAAAAAAATTAAAAAGACATGAGGGGTGATATAAGGATTAAAAAAAGTGAATGTGTTTCAGTTTCCTGTGCTAGTTGACCCCCCCACCCCTAATGCACTCTGTTATTTTCATGAGCCAATTTTTTTTTACATTTAACAAACAAATTTTGTGACATTTATCCAAAGATCCAAAACAAAATCTGATCACAGATCTAGACCACATATTTATCTGAACTTCTTATTTTTATATCAAAAGATCAATTTAGTATTACATTAAATKTACTGTATTAAAATCACAAGCTGTGTTCTGAATTTGTATCAGCATCAAATGTGACCCAAACAGGCAAAGCTTGAGTCTGAATAAGCACAGGAAAACCTGAAAATATTTACTTTTGGTGTAACTGAGATTTACCTAACAATTAGTTCATAATGACACCATGTRGCAATCGAACTAAAATAGCATTTATACTTTATATCAAAGTTTTCCAACAGGTCTTCAGAAATAGTCCCTTTACTTCTAATGCTTTTGATGTTTCTTTGTATGCTGCAGTAGCACATAGGAAACCACTTCATATACTGTTTAGCATCACTGGGGATTCCCCTTTCTAAATATAACCTGAAATTCCCAGTGACATCACTCCAGACCAATAAAAATGTTTTCAAGCAAGCACTCTTCTAAATAAAACTTGWTTGTTTTTAGCCAGGTGATAAAACGCTAAATTTCAATAAACTATGAATCAATTTCAAGCTTTTGAGATGGATTATTTGATAATAACAATAAYTGAGTAGTGAAAAACTCCTCACTGTGACTCATTTTGCCAGCCCAGRTCACAAAGGTTTAGTTTATAGTYAACACATTGCTACTTAATTTTGCCAATTTATCACATAAGCCTTAAGAAATTTTAAGCTACGGCTGCCAAAGGAGGAAAGCCATGAAATGTCGCCACAACATCGCCTGCAACAAACTCTCCTCCAGCAAAAGGTAGAAACAAATCACTCAGCTGAGAGTCCACGGTGCACGCAGGTCGTGGCCGTTAAATAAATAAGTTAGTTTGACTGATGGTTTGTAAGTTAAGGGAGGCTGATTTAGACAAAAACATACAATTAATCATCAGATTAATTTTCTGCTAAATGCCAAAAATAATCATGATAATTTTTTTTGCTAATACTGCCCAATCCAAACAGTTCATTAACCTTGGTTATTAAAGCCTGAATGCTTTGATGCTCCACAGAACAAACAGAATGGCWGAGCGTCGCTCCTCTTTCTGCTCACATCCAACAAGTTACAGAACCAACAAAGAGAAAACAGTGTTGTTGTTATGGGCAGTACWGTATCACAGGTGACTGTCTGTGGTTGCAGAATGAAATATCAGAACCAGCTTAAATGTCGATCTGCGAAAGGGGCTCTAGTCTATAATCCTGTTCCCATTTCAGAGGCTATTTCAGCCAAAGATCACAGATTATTTAGGACGACACAACAGGGACTCACATTTTTTGTGCGCATGGCAGGCCTGGCAGCCACAACCCAGGACTGTGCCCAAACATAAGCAAAATGGACGACTATTTCCCACGATGAGTGAGCTATTACACTGCTACATCTTAGCATCAAATTCACAAAGAAGTTGTTAATTCCTGCTGTTTGAAGGACATAATCACTGCATATTTAACTTCGGAGAAAATCTCAAAGCTTTAAAGTAGGGATGTCCCGATCCAGATTTTTTGACTCCCGATACAATCTGATTCTTTTAATGATTAATCTTTCCGATACCGATCCGATGCAGATAGCTTTTTTTTATTTCTTTCCAAACGACAAGGCTGGTAGTACTAAAGCGAGCCCTGCTGTTCCCACCACGAGAAACATCCAGTTTGCAGATTTTGCAAGATGCGGTTTCAGCATCATTGTTTTCCATTGAAAAGTGTTCCCACACTGTGGACATGGTTGCATACTTGTGTGCATCTTGACTTCTTAACGGCAGTCGTGAAGCATGATGATGATGATGAAAACTGTCGCGAAAACTGGATCGGCCCGATCACATGACTAAATCAGATTCTACCAGATTTTCAAAAAATGTCCATATCTGCCACCGATACCGATACTGAGTATCTGATCGGGACATACCTACTGTAAAGCATCACAAGTGTCTAAACACTTCATACAGCAACGCAATAACCAAAAGGTATACACAGGATTTTCCTAATGGAACGACACACCATCAGCAGATATAGATCAACTTATTTTTATTAAAGGCAAAATATAAAATAAACCCTGCAGCACGTCAGGGCATCTGGTCTCTGCTAAGCCAGAGGAGAGAGAACACATTATGCAACTCAGCGACTCAGAATTTAGTCCGAGAAAAATGACTTTACCAACCATCTGCTGCAGCTGTTGCCAGGTTGTGTGAAGCAGGAGATTTGCCAGGAAAAAAAAAAGAAAGCCAAACATTTTCACACAGCCTGCTAAACACCCACATTCTCAGACCAACACACATAACAAACATATGCAGTTTCATGTTGCCAGTTGTGCCCCTTCAAGCTGCTTTACAAATACAACAAAACAAACAACCCATTTGCACTTGTGTGACTTTTGTTTGTAGATGTGGGGGAAAGATTTAGGAGAAGGAAACTGGTAGGCATGAAGGCTTATACACTCCCATTGTGTCTGTTTCCTGACCCTCAGATAGACAGGAAGTCAGCCAAACACTCCAAATCAAGTGGAAACATTTAAGAGCTCTGCTTAGTGCCCTTGGCTTCATAAAACAATGTTTCCACTCGAATCATGAGTGCTTTGGATGTCATGAACAAGCTCTTTGTTTCTGTGCTGATAATTATCCACCATAGCTAAATCTCAAATTACAAAATGCAAACATCAAATTATTGAATTAAACAGGAGCAAGCTATGAAATATTCTATGGGAGGAACTAAAAGATGTTCACATCTTATGTAACCGGGAGTTATTATAAAGAAATAAATATAAACAATTTGTTATGCGATTCATAAATAAGGTGTTCGGACGGGATTGTTGCTCTTTATCATTTGCTCCAAAAATCTAGAGAAAGTCATTGCAGCCACTTTATTTATGAATACTACCACTGTTGATGGGTAGATTTTATATCAGTGTTTATCACAGCATTCTCTGTGTCAAATTATCTTGGGTCAGAATCAGGAGCTCAACTCTGATAGTTTTTATAAACTCATAAGGCTAAAAAAAACTTTTCCGTCACACTTATTACGTCTCCTCCATCCCTAAACTGGGTTATGGGGTACCTCAAGGGTCTGTCCTAAAACCCGTTCTGTTTGTTTTTGTCTTTTGTTTTGTTGCCTCATTTTATATCCATTTCTTCTAGTTTTAGTGATGCGATTTTTTTTTATTTTAACCAAGTCAGAAAAAGCATTTTACTTCCAACGTATTTTCATTGTAAAACTGATTATTTTCATAACAAGGTTGCTACATTTGAAACACTCTAAATACTGGAGTTTGAAAAACTAGTTCAACCATTTACCATAACAACTGTGATCATTTAATAAGATAACCTGGAAGCCAAGACTGAGAAGAATTAGGACTATGTAACAAATATTTGCACAGCTTGTGCACCTTGGATGGATTCCTTGATCCTTAACTTTGTGTAGTCAAACCAGCTGAGACACACCAGCAAATTAAACTAAATGTTTCCATGTTTTATTCTCACAAAGATAACTGCTCAGTCATCAAAATGGAAAATGCTGTTGACTCAAGTTTTTTYCTTCTTTAGTTTTTGGCACTTTAAAATTTTCTGAAAAACAAACTAAAACAACTTGTGGAACCTGGATAAAGGTATGAGGCAGGTGAACGGTTCTCACCACAATCTGATGCAATGAATTCCTATATATAAATGTTTCGTGGAAAGAAGTGCGTGACTTTGCACCTGTTAAAACACAAGTAAGCCTGCACACCCAAAAAAAAAAAAAAAAAAAAAAAAAAGAAAGAAAGAAAAGAAAAACCACACTGGACTAGATGGAACTGAGAGGCAGGAAATACATGGTMGTTGTGTAAGTAAAGGTGAAAAGGAAGTAAATAAATTAAAAAATATGTCTTCTAGCACAACGGAATGTGAGCTTGCGGGAGAACGAGGAGAGACTAGAAGCCTTAATATATCTCTACTTGTTTATTTATTTTTTGTTCCAGTAACTTTTGAGTCATTGCACAGTGAACAATAATCATGTTGTTGTCGATGAATGGAGCTGAACAGACAGAGGAAAACTAAAGCTCAAACTCTGACGAATGTTCTTTTTTTCATGGTCATGTTTGAATAGGGCAGGAACATTAGTCATATTTTTGGCAGGTTCAGTAAAATATACATTGAATAAAAAAGTGCAATGCCATAGAATACATTAAAACAGCTTTAACCTTATAAGCTTATGCTGTGGTATTTAGATGAGGCACTACTAACAGTTCTGATTTAATTGTCTCTCTTGAATATTATTACTTTTTTTAATGATGTGAATCAGTTGCTGACATTCTTGGTAAGGATGTGGCATG